GCGGCAGCGTCCCCGCGGCCGGCGCCTCCCCCGCCGGGTCCCCGCGGGCTCCCTCCCCCTGAGCAGGGCCGCCGCGTTGCAGCGCGTTGGGAGCCCCGTGCGGCGGCCCCGTCACCGGCCCCCGAGGCTGTAGCCGCGTCGGTCGCTGCTTGGTCGTGACCGGTTTGCGGGCAGGGGGTGTTTTACAGCGCGTGCCCCGAGGTGGCCTCTGGCCGTGGGCAGCTCGTCCGTTAGGTATTTGGTTTCCCCAGGCTTAACTGTCTCCTGAGTATTAGTCTGACAGCAGCTCCCATACAGCTAGTTGTTTGGGAACAAATAACACAGGGTAATGACRGGTGGGTGTCTCAGTGGGAAGATTTGCTCATAGGCACTCGGCTGGACTTTCTCACCCRGGAGAGCCGTGTTCCGTCAGGAGAGTGAGGCCTTCCTTGCTGGAAGGTGTGTGAACCTGCTAACCTGCTTTTGCAGCCCTTGTGCTRTGTGTAAGGCTGGACGTTACCCTGCGTGCTGAGAAAGCGGGGCCCGGAGGGTGACCTGGGCAGTGGCTGCTCTCCCTCCAGGCTGGATTTGCAGATAGGGAGCTGGGTAACAGGCAGCGTGTCATGGAACACAGCGAGATGCTTGGCAGGACTCGAGTCTGGATGGGGAGCTGCCGTCTTGTCGCTTCCTTGTGCTGTGGGAAAGTCTCAATGCAGTGACCCGGGGTGGGGCAAACGATGCTGTCTTTCAGGACCGTGCTGGCCATTGCAGGAGAAGACTTCTCCATCGTCGCCTCGGACACGCGGCTGAGCGAGGGCTACGCGATTCACAGCCGGGACAGCCCCAAGTGCTACAGACTGTAAGTCGGGGTCCTGTAAGAGCTGAAGCCGCCCAGAGCTCTCTGGTGTTGAAAAGAACCGGTGCTTTTATTAGACAGACTTTTCAGGGGAAGCAAATCAGAAAACAGAAGAAAGAATAGAAAGGGATACTGAGTAACAGACTTGATTTGTCATTAAGGGGAGTCTTTTGTGACATTGTAAATGTGACTRGATTTCTTGTTGCATGCTTCTGAATCAAGCTGTTGACAGATTTTTTTTCAATACTGTATCAGACTTCAGTTGTACCTAAGTGTTTCTTTTTGGCTGAATAATCACAGGAAACGTCGTCTTATCCCATGTAGTGAATAGTTGTGCTTCCTCAGGGACCTGGTCTCGGTTGGCAGATGTGCCCACCCTTTCAGCACCGCAGTTGTGCTCTGGTCCTTTAGCCAACCATCTGGCACTTCAAAGAGAGTTTATTTTAGGAGAGGTAAAGCTGTCAGTGGTTCCATTATTGAACCTCTTAGGCTCCTCCTGTCTAGGTAGTGTTGCCTTTGCTTAGTAATATGTATTATTTACTTTCAAATATAGCTGCCATTACCTGTGTTATGAACTTCCTGATGTTGGCACAGGTTCACATGACTTCATGTTTCTTCAGGATAACTCCTTACTGTGTCTTTGACATTGAGCTGCTTTGGAAATCACTGTGGTACAATCCGTGTGCTGCACGTGATGAGTGGCTTTGGGTAACGCTAGCRACAGGCTGAGAGATTTCGGTTTAAATTGTTCATAAATGACTTAGTCTTAATCCTGTAAATGGTGTGTGAATATTTATTCAGTCACGTGAATTCGCTTGCGTTACGTTACAGTTTGAAATTCAAGCGTTCATTCACGTAGCCTTTCCCTAATCTGCAAACATTTCATGAGAGCTGACCAATCTACCATGCAGCCAGGTAACCTCCCTTGTCCTGAGACAGAAAAATCCCAGGAAATGCAACATTGACATTACCCTTTAAAAATACTAGTGCAGTCTTCTGGCCAGGTGGAGTGGAACTGGATTTGAATGATCTTGCACAGTGGCTTCCCCTGACAAGACTGTTCGGACAGTGTAAGAGAAACTGAAAAAAAAAAAAAAAAGGATGTATTCATAATAATACCCTATTTTTTTTAAAGTGGCGTAGCTCATGTAAAATCTAAAATCACATTAAAACTTTATMTTTTACAGGACAGACAAAACAGTCATTGGATGCAGCGGTTTCCATGGTGACTGCCTTACTCTTACTAAAATTATTGAAGCAAGATTAAAGGTAGATAAGCATCTTAATGGATTTAGAAATTGATAATAGCATCACATCTGAGGAGACTAATAATATTTATTGAAAACCCAAGTCTGTTTTTTCTCAAGTGTTTGTATCATAATTATAGCTATATTGCTAATGAAGGATCAAGCGGGGGGTTTGCCGTGTTCATGCTAAGTATAACRTCACAGATTTAACTTTAAAAATGGAGTAGTTTGAGGGGATCACATTAACTGAATGTTAATCAGACAGCATCTAATATTTATCTGAAGTTTTACAAAGAATTAGTTTGGCTTGCAGGAAGACTTTGTGTTTAGACTAGTATATTTTCAGTAATCAGATTAATTCTAGTTAATAATCCTGCCTAGCATTATATTATTTTGTGGTGAGATTATAGCAGATGATTACAGCATAATTCTGATTAATTTGAGCAAAAAGTCTAGTGTGACTYTGTCCTTGGGCCCGCTGTACCCTCTGCAGATGTACAAGCATTCCAATAACAAGACCATGACCACTGGGGCTATTGCAGCAATGCTCTCCACAATCCTGTATTCGCGGCGCTTCTTTCCATACTACGTTTACAACATAATCGGTGGACTCGATGAAGAAGGTAAGACTTGAGACACCGTGGAAGAAGTTTCCATCTTGGATATACAGATGGAGTAATGAAGCCTATACTGCTGTTCTTAAAACTTGGCTTTAGGCGTTGCTGTGTTTGCACAGATCAAACACAGCGTGCTGCTGACTGGTCTAGTGGTTTTCATCTTTCATTGCTGAAGGGTCTGAAAGTTAAAAAAAAAAAAAAAGTAGTTATTTGATTGCAGGTGAAATCTGTTAACGTAACTTACCTTTCATATTTTTATCCAGAGAAGAAAATTTAGTGATTGTTTTGCAGCAATTGCCAAATGTCTCTCTAATGGACCTGCTAACAGTAAAATTAGATGTATTTTGTTCAGGTATTTCTTTATGTGCTACGGGCTGTTAAGTATGAAGGGCTATCTAGAGGCAGGTTTCTACAGGGTTGTCTACGGTGAGATTTGAAATGTTAGCTAATCTCTTGAAAATTACAGTTTCTACTTGGACATTTTAGTTTAATGTATTGCCGTTTAAGGGCTGCTGAGCCCTCAGMTGACTTGCTAAAATAGTCTTGGTCCTGGCTTTCAGTAGGAGCTCAGAAATGGCCTCTTTTGGATAACTTCAACCRTTTTCCACAGTTTACTGTTAGCTTGTCCACATAATACAGAGCCTAGAAGGTGTTTAGGCTGCCCTGCATAATRGCATATCTTGGATTATGGGGCAGCTGTACCATGTGATGAGATTCAGAGTGCATAGTCCTGGTTTGAGTCCAGCAGTACTGACTAGCTCTGACTTAATGCCGCTTTCTGGATCTTGGCCAGCTTGCTTGGGCTGCTCAAAAGCTGCCTTGAGTGCAAGTGCCCATGGTCCTGGTCACTTCATGAAATCAGATGCAGCTTTTCTGAACAGAAGGGGCGAGCTTGCCCTGGCGCTGTGCCTTGACTAGGGCTTGCTCGTGAAACCCTGGTGCTGCAGAGTTGCAGCACAGCCTGCGTTGCTGCTGCTCGCGTGAGCTACGGTGACTTGCACAAGCTGGCCTGGCTGCAGAGGGGGAAGTGAGTAAAAGCTGAGCCTGGGATCCATGGGAGCAAGGAGGAGGCACAAGAGCCCACGCTCTGGGAGTAGCTTGGGATCAACTGCCTCTTTATTTGTACCTGCCACGTAACCAGTAGAACTGTTTGTGCAGCAACACACTGTGCTYCTGCTTTAGTTATCCTGCTTCAGGAGTGTTTTTTCTACAGTGACTACTATAAAAAATGTCTTCTAGAGCATGGTTATAGGTTAAATCATGAAGGTAACTTGCATATAATGCCAGACCACAACCACAGTGAACCTTCTATACAAAATACGTCTGAGTATATTGAGGTATGATTTTGTAAAGGTTTGTTGGGTCCTCTGTGGTGCTCCATAGAGTACCTGCTTATGGAGGTGAATAGTTTGTGTAATTTCTTACCAGTACTGAGAATCTTTCTGGGTTGTGATTTTTTTTTCTTTTTTTTTTTGTCCTTTTTAAGGGAAAGGAGTAGTTTACAGCTTTGATCCAGTAGGGTCATACCAGAAAGATAATTTCATCGCAGGTGGATCAGCAACTGCCATGCTGCAGCCCTTGCTCGATAACCAGGTAGCTTTTTAAATTGATTTTTTAAATGCTTTTTTAAATGATACTTCCAGGACATATTACTGTAARATTTTGAGAGAAGGTTTAAATAAATGGGATTATTAATCTATACATTTACAAACTGGGTGGCTGTGATTATCCCTCAGAAAGCGCTGCTTAGGATCTGTTTAGGTTTTTGGTGTGCTATGAACACTGGATTGGCTGTTTAAAATTACATATTTAAATTGTGGAATTTCTTCATATGTGTGCAATTTTCATACTGCTTGCTCTTTGAGTTTAAAAAGTGGGTGGGAAGCTTCTGAAGAAACAGGTTAGTTTAGATCATAGTGTTGCAATGCCTCGTGTATGCCGAGTGTTAGCTGAGTGTTGCTTTGCACTGGATCAGCCTCTAGTTACTTTTAGGGAGGCTATCAGTATTAAAGTCCTGGTTATGCAGCTCTACRCCCTTCCAGCAGGAATACTTTGGGCAAATTCAGGGTTCTAAAACAGACCGACTCTTTCATCTGTTCATATAAATCACATAAATCTGTTCACATAAATCTGTTCGTTCCAGTGCAGACACTAAAGCAACTTTCCGGCTAGCTTCCATATTAGCTGGAACACGATTTCGTTAAAATGATTTTTCATCTTTTTCTAGATTGGCTTCTTGAATATGCAAAATGTGGAACGCGTCCCTCTGACTCTGGAGAAGGCTTTGCAGATTGTTAAAGATGTCTTTATTTCAGCTGCTGAGAGAGATGTGTACACTGGTGATGCACTTAAGATTTGCATTGTCACAAAAGAGGGAATTAAAGAGGAAAGCATCCAATTACGGAAAGATTAACTCGGTTCRCTTACAAGCCTGTAATCTGTAATCTGTGATGTGTAACTACCTGTATTGTGAAGACATTTGTCTTATTAAATTTTTTGAAGAAGTTTGACTAATGCCGAATGTTTTCTGTCCTTGTTACAAGTTACGGTGTGTCTTTAGAAACCAAGGTAAGGGTGATAATAAATAGAGTTAAAAATAGAGAGTTCGGTTCATCTCCTTTTAATCTATTAATCCAATTTCCATGTCTCTTTAGTCCGCTGTTCACAGTACCTTGTGCTATGACTCAGGGAAGTGTAAACTTACAAAAATCAGTTTGACAAACCTGTGGTAATGCTTTCAAGTTGGCCTAGGTCTAATGAGAGGAGCTTTTATTGTGTTTCTTAGGCTTTCTCTGCACCTTACAGCTTGTGTTTCCTGTTCTCTCCTGCATCTTTTTGACATGCTGTCATTGCACTGACCTCTCTGCCCTTATTTATAGAGACATTTCTGTGTGGTAATGCTGAAAATTTAAAGCATCACATCTTTTGAGCCTACTGCTGGAAAATAACTTAATAAGGAGATTGCATGCTTRCCAGTTAATGCCTGCATGTCTTTTTTAGACTTAGTACTGCTCCACTTTCTTGGAAAAGTGCATCAAGTGCCGATGTCTCGGGCTGCATAGCGCCCACGCTTCCCTGGCCTGAGTACGAGGACCTTCAGAAAAGCAAGGCTGTGTGATCAAGGGCAAAGTAAACTTGTCTTGCCCAGCCTTCCTTCCAGTCTATAGCAATTTATAAAAGGACATAGAAAGCTTCCCTGTGCTTGAGGTGCTGTGCTTCTGGCTCCTAGGARCAATTTGCTCGTGTGTTAGACCCTGCAGCAATGTGTTAGGCTGCCTGCCTGGGGGGAGCTGACTGCCTTGTGTGCGGCATTTCACTCAGTTATTTCTCCCAACTCTGGATGGTTTTCACCAGTGGTGGTAATTCCRGACAGTTTAAGTTACAGGTAACTTCTGGATCCTCAATAGTCACCCAGCTACTGCGTTTAAAACAGGTTTAGATGTGCTCAGGAAAGCCGGGAGCGGGAAGTGGAGCAGCTGTTTTTTCTCACTGTTTACAAGAACATTTGGCCACCGGGTGCCGCTGTTGGTCCGCGTGAAGATCAGACCCCTCATCGGTCGGTAAGGAAGAAGCATCCCAGGCTCAGCAACACTGAGGCTGAAGTCACTGGATTGCACAAGGCAGGGTTTCCAAGCACACTAGCATAAGTTACAGGAATATTTAATGTTATTTRCACAAGCCACCTTAAATGGACAAGGTTAGTTGTGTACATGACTAGTAGCTATATGTTTTCCTTACTGAGCAGACCAAACAAAACAGTAATTTCAAGAACTGAAAGCTTGTGTCTGGCTAAAACACAAATGAGCCATAGCCCCTTCAAGTCATGTCCTGGTACTTCTGTGGCATTCAGTTAAAGTACCTTCAGCTTGACTATCTTGGCTAACAAGTTTGTTTTGAGGGGTTCAGGTGCATTCACAAGCAGATYGTGAGGGCTTCATGCTGAGTTTGTGGAGCCTGAACTGCCTCCAATCCCCCAGGAATCCCAAGAGCAGTGGATGGTGACGAGCTGCTGTGTCTACCTTTAGGGCAGGCCCGTTTATAATACGCACGATTTAAGTACTGATCGAGGAAATGCAACAGGAAGGGTAACAACCTAATCTGCTCATGCGTGGATTTAGTGTTCTTAAAAGATGCCAACAGCCTGGGAGAGAGTCGCAGTGGTTCAATTCAAAAGTTTAGATGCTCTCACACTTAAAGTTTATATACAAAGTAAATATGTGCTCAGCAGATTTCTAAGAATGATTTGTTTTAGGTTCAAGTGCCTAGGACTGTCTCTGTAAGTTGTTTCAGAGGAAGCACAAGATAATTAGAGTGATTTTTGGGGTCTCATTGGTGATCTCAAAAGAGATAACTACAGCAGCTGGTGRGAATACAAGTTTTTCAGTGCCATCCTGTAGGAGCACTGCAGATAAGCAAGCTGTTTTGCATCCTCCTGCTCTCAGTTTGCTTGCACAGTACATCCTGCTGGAAGAAAACAAACMAACCAAAAAACARTGGGAAATGGAAGCTTTTTCACAGGCCCATTAAATTGAAAATACTGAAAATCTTTTATGGAAGGAGGTAAATGCAGGTAGCACTGCACTCTCAGGCAGACAGGGTTGGGACCAGTGGCTAAGGAGGGTRTTTCCCAATATAGTCCTCGTTTCCCTAATTATATCTGTCCTGCTTTCATCACCACTCATGCTCAGAGGTGGAAGTTACAGGAGAGACAGAAGAAAGGTAAGTGGAAAAAGTGTTTACAGGCTGCTCAGCTGGAAGTTGCTTGCTCATTAGTATTAAAACATTCGAAAGTCACAGATGTCAGATGTTACTTAATCCAAATGTTTAGATTTTGTTTTAAATAATGATTGTCCTCAACTAGGCTTACAGGATAAAAATAACCTGACTTTCTGCAGCGCTGCTCAATTCTTAGCCCGTTGTGCCTGTACAAAAACGAGGCCAGCAGTCCCCTCACAGGGTGCCTGCAATGTGCGTTTTTTTTATGAGCGCTTTGAACAACAGCAAGAGATACAGAACTGTCTATATGCTATCTGCATGCCTAGGTTGCTGCAGTGTGGAGGAACAGCTGGCTAAAGCAAATATCAGACTACCACTTGTGCACGCTGCAAGCAGAGACCTTGGTTTAACAGATCTATTTGGCTGGGGATTAGATATTTTTAAGACAATTTTATGTAAGAGAAAGGAGGGAGAGGTGAGGTGCTTATTCTGCAAACCCTTTGCAAGTTGCAAAGACGCGTGCTTTGACAGCGAGCTGCCCCGGGGAACTGGCTTGCCCTGGGAGGGAGCAGATCCAGCCCCTTGGTCGGGCACTGCGGCGTCTGACTAGAGCCAGTGCCAGTTGCCCTGGCAGCTCTGGCTTCCCCTTCCACCATAAGGTGGCAATAGTTAGTTGCTCTCCTGGCCTTCAGCGGGGTTACACGCTACGTGGGTAAAAATAGTCACACACTCTTTACCAGTTTCCCACTCTAACGTGCTTTGCTGGCCTGTTTATTGAGGAGAGGGGAGGCTTTATTTTGAGCTCGGCCAAATGGCAGCACACTGGTGCTTATATAAGGAACGGTGCAAGGTCAGAGTTGGCCTTAGGTTTGTAATAAGGTAGACCTTGCTTTATTTTAGACACATTTTCAGCAATATAGTTTATGTGGCAAATGTGCTTTGTTTACAGGGGAAGAGGGGGAGGTTGTTATGGGAAGTGACAGTGCTTGGCAGTGCTTCATACGTGCTTCGGAAAATCAAATCCATGACACGGTTACTCTTCTAAGTAGGTATCAAAATGAATTTGATTTTGCATYAACTAAGCAACATTTTCTTAAGGCTGAATCACAAAATATTGTTTTTATAACCCCAGTATYGAGCTCTTTCTTTTCAGTGTGACATATTTTCTTTTCACATTAAGATAAGCCTGTAACACTCCATATGCCTCAGTGAGGTGGGAAACAGGATTGAGTTGCTTCAATTTTCTTGCATTTTCCTAAGGAAAAGTAGCTATACAGGAATCAAAGCACCATTTGAGGTAGAGCAGTTTGAAGTGATCCCCCTGCAACTCACTGCCTTATATGATTTATTTAGAGTATGAAATTGTAATTTCCACATGAACAAAAATGGGCTTTTTTTTCCCCSCACCCCATATTAGAAACTAAGAGAGAAGCATTGCAAGTGATTTTAATTTGGAGATTCAAGGTTGTACAAAGCTGAAGCTTGGGAAGAAGTGGTAGGAGCAAAAAGGGCATGTTTAGAGAAGCATTCACAAGAATCTGAGGAAAATAAAATAGTGCTGATTCTCCCAGGGCAGCAGGAAATAATTTTAGAAGCAGAAGGTAATTGCTCTCTAGTTCAAAATTCCTAATGCTGAGTCAGAAACCAGCTTCAGAGTAAAAGGATTTTGGAAGTGACAACTTTCAGATTCTTCTTCCAGTTCCTTTCAGTCATTGCTTTGTCTAGTGCAAATGCCCTTTGCTTTTAGGTCATTTGGGGCAGTTGTAAACCACGCAGTATGGCACACGGGGCCTGAGTTAACCAAAATTTGTATCCACAACTGCCTTCTCAAGCCAAATTCCTCCCGAGCAGGAGCTTTGTCTGTGTGAGGGCAGCAGGGTGAGACTGCTCTATATTCTTTCAACTGTTGCATATAGATAGCTTAATTCTACAAAACATTTCGTGTGCACTTCCTTTGCTAAGCAACTTCAACAAAGTATTCATAATTACAAAAACATGGTTTAGCAGAAAAACAAACAAACAAAAAAATCTCAGCATCTTTCCTGTTAGACTGTTCTTGGCCCTTTTCCTGACGGTTGCTGGCAAAGTTCAACTTCACTGTTCCTTTCAGAGGATCAAGCTGGGGGTAGGGATGGGCCCTGTCAAGCAGCTCAACATCACTGTACCCTACAATAATTACATTCCTTGGCACAAGACAAAGGAGCACCAAAAAGAGAATAAGGATTGTACCAAAAGTAAGTTGAACCACTGCCTAACACTTTAGATGAAAGAGCTATAAAAAAAAAGGATAAAACCACAATTTGTGTTTCCCTTTTGGCTAAGGAAGAGATACACAAAAGGTGGAAGACGGCAGGTTTCACTAGCGTTGAAGAAGCTTCAGTGATTCAGGGTTAAAGAGCTCTTGGCTTACCCAAGCTGTGACTCCCCTGAAGTGCAGGTATTTCCACTGCTTTGCTTCCTCCAGCCACACAAGCCCTTGGTGCTTCTACAAGAAGTCACCAACATGCCTATTTACCTACGTACCTACCAACAGGGCTGCAGACACCCAGCATCTACGGTATCTGGCCCACTAGGGTGGCTTAGCCTCCCAGCATTTACAGTTCCTTGGGAATGGTGCTCTGCTTAACCAGCCCCTATTACAAAGAAAGAAAACCACAGCAGCAGAGCCTCAGTCACCTTGGCAGCCAGGTGTGGGGTAGATGATCAATCTGTTTATCCTTCTCTGGACACAGTGCTCTTATATTTCAGGCCAGGGAAGTCTCACCTTGCTGTCCCCAAGCTCCCAGGAGCAAAGCTGG